TGAGCGAACTGGGTTGGGGTAGTATAAAAGGGTAGGCTTCTGACTCGACTAGCGAAAAGAATGAAGAGCCCAGCGAAAAAAGCAGATACACACAACACATCAAGGTCAGTAGCTTCCGTCCGTCGGAAGACCTGGATGAGTAAAACAGCGTTCGTCGGTGTGACCGTTTTTTTCCAATTCCTCAGTCGGTGACGTGATGTAAGGAAATCCAGCCATTCCGCAATCTGTGATTCCGGCATTTTTGGAGGGGTTGAAAATATGATCAAATTTAACCATTTCAACGACACCTCCCATGATGTGTAACGTTCAGTTCCGTTTCTTCATGCATCCATACCCATCGTCTCGACACACGATTCCAGGCTCGCTCTAGAAATCGAACCTCTCTCCTTATGATTCTGTTCGTTGCCAGATCTTTTCTTTTGCTTGAAAGACACAATCACGTACTGCGCTTATTTCATGCAGACCTTGAAGACCCCCCTCAGCTATTTCGGCTAGTGTGACATTACGAAAGTCACAAACCCCGCATCCATACGACGCGCATTTCACAATCTCCGCAGTTGCCATCACAGCATGCAAAACGACGTTGACCATATTTATGCCTTCGTTGGGACATACAGTTTGGTTTTGCAGCGTGCTGGGGCTGCCGCGGCATTTCGGAAGCCCCTATTTCACTTTCAATCCCCTGTTCTCCCCGTTCCGGCCACAAAATTGTTCTACCCACAGAGCATCCTCTTATTAAAGTCTGGCTTGTCAACAGACGTACCGAGAGTATTCTAAGACTGTTCTACGTCCTCAGCATTCCTGTCACACATGACACACAAACACGAGAAGTTGTGATATCACATTATTCTTCTATCAGGCTTCATGCACGCTTTGCTGGTTCAAGGGGGATATCATCAGTCGCAGAATCTAATTTGTTATCATTAATTGTGCCAAATGCTACTGCGCTACAGACTGCGTCAATAGCAAGCTCTGTTGTCCCTGACGCAGTAGACAAAGATTCAACTGCGTATCATTCATCAGATATCTGTGCACTACCTCGACAAAACAGCAAGCCATTCTTGTGTGTGCTTTACGAAAAAGTGAAACGTAAGGTTCAAGATAAAAGCTTCTACGACTCATGGACTGTGACACCCGACTTGTATTCATTATAGTTTTGCACATGTGCTATAAGTACGGAGATGTTTGCAGACGCTATGAATGAGAGCGGCGTTCTTAAGAATTACTGCAGCCTAGATGTACATGACTCTGAATTTTCTGCTCTCGGAACGTGGCATTCCGTTGAGATGGAGTTGGAAGGGGCGGGAGGAAATCCTCCCTTTGACCCTGTGCTCATTTCTAACATGTTAAATGCTTTAGAGATGGGCGTGCAGAGAGAAACACCATACTGCAGATGTGTATTACTTCCGCTTGAAAAGAGATATGGAGTTGTGGAGCATACCAAAACTGTTTCAAGTGAGGGAATTATGTTGGTGTCGCTGGAGAGGGGCGCCCTACCATTTCGTAGTCAAAATCATGTATATTCTGTTCAAGCTGCAAAGCCGAAGAGTTACTCATACCAAAAACTAGGGCTTTTCATTTGGAGAAACCGTCAATACTTGTTGAAGAATCGAGTACCGCGTGATGTCGAGGTCGCTTATATGAAGTGGACTTGTAGGGTCCTTCTTGATCCCTTCAAGGCTCATTTGGATTTTCGCAGTTTAAAAGGGCATTTCCAGATGAATTTAGGGGAGAAAAGACAGCAGCTCATCTGTTTCAATTAGAAGAGCACGGTACCTTGGTCACATGACCAATGACTCCAATTAAGTCGATATCTCGATCCAATTTACCTGCTGTACTCCAAACGCCTGAAACATCTTCTGTATTGTAACTTGTTCTCTACAGAATCTCGTCTCCATCAGCTTCAAAACCTTTTGGGTTGCAATAATATGACTCAAAGGAGCTGGTATATTCTTCGCTTGCAGTTTTGCTTTGCTCCTCGCCACATTCTTTATCCTCATCGCAAATGCGAAACTGTAGAGGACTGTGACTTCTGTTTCCCACGTTGTCTCCCCCCGTTGTACATTCCGTATTTTGCAGCTCCCGTTCTTCCTGCGCTGTGCTCTCAGAGGGTTGACCTTTATTTGTACAAAACTGAGCAGCACACTGGCATCCAACGCATCTTTGGACTTTTCTTCGGCATCCACATCGCTGCGTTCGACATTCTCCCTTACAAGAACAAAGCGTGAACACGTTGCGGATGGACGCTTTTAACCTTTTCACGTCGACCTTCTGCTCTATCAAAAATTCGCCTCCTCCGTCATATCCGTGATTCGAAGTGCAACCACCGACCATGTACGGCCGAAGGTCCCGCAACGCCGAGCGAAACCAGTACTTGTGAACAATGAAACTGGCTCGTGCCGCCTGTAGACCTATATGCGGTTTGGGGGGTATGAGGTCGCACAATGTATATGCAGCACCTCAGGCCGGAATGCCGTCTCGAACCTCGTAGCCAGGTTTCCACGCACGCAAGTACTTCACGATATTGTGTTTTCCTGTTCGTTTGGAATTACAGATAGATCCCCATCCAGTTTTCTTCCAACGACATGATGTGCAAAGTAAAATGGAAGTTTCTGTGCTGGAATCTAGAGTAACAAAGGGGTTAGTACAGTTCCCGGTGTCCACATTCGCACGTGCACGTATTTGGTTGGGTGTTAAAAGGACAATGAGGGAAGGTTTGCGCGGATCGGAGGTCTTGCAAGCGAAGCATACTGGCATTACCAGTCGGAGATCTGGAACGACATCGCCACACACCTTGACTCCTCGGGTCCCTGCACTTGCCATTATTGAGCTTGGAGGGCTGAAACTCAGTACAATTACTCTTGGATGTAAGACGCATTGAATGGATGCTGTGCAGGGTCCGCCGCGAAGAGGAACGGGGAGAAACAAAGCAGATAATGAAGACGGAATTGTGGGGAGGATAAAAAATGTGTGTACGAGGTGCCCATGGTGGGATTCTGGACCAGCCGTAGGTGGCTTCAAATTTTAGATTTCTTATCATAACGAACCCAATTGTGGAATACAACGCACCTTGTCACCGACTGTACTGTATTTTCCAGCCTGATTTTTCAGTATTTCTACAGTCAGAGGGGCCAGCTACTACAAGACTCTTTGTGTCGTTGGGACGCAAGTTCCGAGGCCAAGCTACTACAAGACTCTTTGTGTCGTTGGGACGCAAGGTCCGAGGCCGGATGAAAGAGACAAACATTGAGGGCAAGGCATTGAAGCTACGTAAGATGTGTGAGAGACGTGTGCACATCTAAACGCTGCAGAAAAGTCTTGCGGCACAGTAAGCAACTTCACGGAGAGCAGACACTGGTGCAGTGCTGCGTCCCTCGGAAGCATATGAATGATGCGTGGTGTTTGTGCCTGACCAAAACTTCGCTCTCTGCTCCAAAGCAAGCTCGAGGTTCTGAGATGGGTGCTCAAATAGGTCCCGCCTCTCTCACAATAAGATACAAGTCTTGTATATTTTTTTTCTATGGGACATGCAGATTCTAAGAAGATGGGGCTAAATCCTCAGGGTGTCCAGCATCTTCACAATCCTCGAGACTGCCCGTGCGATTTAAAATGCATTCACGACGCCGTGGTCGTGTCTTAAATGACGAAACAATATATCTGTAGTGCTTTTCCTGCAGCAAGCTGACAGAAAAGCTGGCACTGCGTGACGGAACTCCAGTGCTGCATAGCTTCACCTTCCATTGAGACAGTGCCAGAGATAACCTTGCCGGGAAAAGGAGTATTTGAAAGACCAACAACTGGTCTCTACGCATGGCCAACTGCATAATCAGCCGTTGCCCTCATGATCAAAATATTTTGCCCAAGGCTCAGAGGAAAAAAAAGGCACATATATCATTTCAGCTGGGTACCTTCGACAGAAAGTACAGCGGTTGAGGCTCAAGATATACCTCGGCAGCTTTATTGAACCACATATCTTTCGGTGGAGGGCACCGCCAGAGACAAACGTTCAATACAGGGGTCAGCAACCCCTTCAGGCACAGGAGCAGCCTCTCATCATGATGCAGAAACGGTATGCATCTTTCGGCGAGGGCAAACCTCTGCATACGCCCCCCCGGGGCTCTCTCCCAACGCGGCCATATTCAAGCCCCGAAATCTCGAGTTTTGTGCTGCGTCCAAGACTGTATGGCCTGATGGCTAGAAGCCTAATTTTGCGCATGCGTAGACAAGCACGCATGCTTCCCTGGACGCATCCGTGAGACCGGTGGACAAGACGTCTCGAGACTCATGGAATGAAGTTGAACTTTACTGTACTGTGGCTTCATGAAACATCTGAATTAAATGGCGCCTCTCTCCCCCATTCCTTCACCATTTACTTCAACGTTCATGTGCGCATGGCCGCCAAAGTTTTCTCCACGATGTTGGAATGGGGTGTCTCATGCCCTATGCGCGTCTGGATTCTACAAATACTCCTGTCGGATATCTTCCCTTCGCCCGGCATACATACCATACGACTGCAGCCCCGTCAGTTGATGGCGGTAGAGCGTTGCTTACCACGGTTTCAACGTCTTGGTATCTCTATCTGTTCTTGTCGTCCATTGCTTTGCCCTTAGTTGTAATCAGTTTTCCAACACGCGGGTCGCGTAATAATATATAATGATAGTACGGCACGTTGCTGGCTCCGCTCTTCCGTCCTTTATGGTGCGCTGAGACACTTCTACCGCTTGTTTGCTTGGCGTTTGAGAAATGTTTCGTCAGACTGGCTTACCATGCTACCTGAGTATTGTGCTTCCGTCACAAGTAATAGAAACCTGCTGCCTGGTGTCAGATACACTAGGTACGAACGGCACGGAGTAAGCAACGCATGTGGACAGACGAGCGTTGAGTGCCGAACGCAAGAAGGTTGCTCTGCATAGCGGCCCCTTGCCGTTCGTACGGTACTGGGCTTCCTAGTCGTTTCCCAACCGTGTCAATCATACATATACAAAATCAAATTCAAAATATCAAAATTCAAACAAATTTTCGTCGCAAACAATTCGTACTCAAGAGATGAATACCCTGTACAAAAGCTAACCCTTCTACTGTACTACTGCGTTGTGCAAGCTACACTATGCTATACCACTATCTTATGTCCTTCTGTCGGCCACCTGGCAGTGCTCATCTTAATGAGTTGTTGGCCCATTCCCATTCCTTTTTACTTTTTCGTCGAAATCCCATGAATTTGTCTTGAATGTCTATTCAAGCTCGACCTCTGCCCAAAGCAGGCATTACAAATCGTGCAACGATGCGGCCTCTGCTTCTCATGAACAGTAGAAATATGCTGCGATAAATGCAATTTGAAGTGAAAGCGAAAACCACAGGTCGGGCAGGGATATGGTCTTGATCCCTCATGCACGGTCCGGCAATGCTTGAGAACTGCTGCTCTTTCAGCAAACGTCTGTCCACAACGGTCACAAGCAAAATCCCTTCTTTTCAAATGCACAGTTCTGAAGTGTCGATATTTGGAGCTGACATGTCCGAACGCAGCGGGGCATTGCTCGCATTGAAAGGGCTTCAACTTCTCGTGAATGGTGCGAATGTGTAGACGTAAATGACTGCTGCGCGCAAACGAGGAACCGCAGGCCGAGCAAGTGTGTGGGCGTGCAGGAGACATCATGGATGAATGTTGCTGCGTCTTCCGAATAGCGGAAGAGACAGCCAGTGGAATGGGCTTGATGGCGGAGTGAACTGGGCTCACATACGGAGGGGATAAGCGAGGGTGAGCCGAGGATGAGTCGGTAAAGTTAGAGATGGGGGAACTAACGACAGCAGGAAGATCTCGAACATGAGATGCGGCGTCATAGGACGGAGTTTGGGGCACAGGAGGATGGCGATGCGGCACAGCGTCTGATAGGGATGAAGTGTTGAGCGAGGAAGTTGGGGAAGAGTCTGCGAGCACGGTGTCCCAGAAGGTGCGCGGACGCTTCGCGGTCGGGGTGAGTGGAGGTGAGAGGGAGACAATGGTGCGCTTTGGTGAAAATCGAGCAGAAGAATGAGAAGGTGGTGTGATGAGAGAGGCCATGGTGAAGAAGTGGTGCTGTGCAGGGATGCGTGATCGATTGACACGAATAGAGTGATGGTAGTGGAAGGAGGAGGGGAGGGTAGGGGGGGGGGGGGGGGGGGGGGGGGGGGGGGGGAGGGGTTTAAGTAAGAAAGCAACGCAGAGCGAGAGAAGTGAAGCAACCGGTGGGTAAGGGTGGCCATATCACTGTCACCACCATGGAAGTCATATTTTTGAATGTGGAGTTGAAAATGAGATAGAATGGTGAATAAATTTTTGGGAAGGCGAATTCAAGGAGAAATCACGGGGATGCGCCGTGTTGCTGTCGATGCGCCGAGTTCCTTTTTGTGTGTATGATAGAGGTGTTTAAATGTCCACCGCGCCGTCCACAAGTACGCAACGACCTGTCTTTTTCTTGGTTTTGAATTTATTCGCCATCTCCAGAACATATTTACACTCGCTCATAGATTTTACCCTTTTTATACTTTGATCACTCATCCTCTTGAATTGCGTCGACAGCTACAACGTACGTGTACTGCCCCCGTACTGTACATGTCAGTCAATTCCCTTCCTACTACCCGTCGCCATGCCCATCACCAACCTCCCAACTGCCATCGCCCCATCCTGTCTGTGTTCATGCGAGTACTGCCTCATGGAGTCAATTTGTCATCACCCGCTCGACCCATACACGAAACGGCAGCACAGTCATGCCCCCCACTACATCGTCCTTGCCCGAATTCCTCCCTAACCCGAAACCCTCAAACCAGTGCGTCTGAAGTCACTCCCTCTCACTAACCCAATAATCCAGTCTCGTTCTGATTTGAACGCCCCAAAGCCGTACCCTCCCCCCACGGGGGTGCTGCGCCTTCGTGGCAGCCAACCCTTCGTTCTGCGTTTTATTTTTTTTTCCCGCCCCCAGCGCTGGTGCGTTCTCGCCGTAGACGCTTTTTTCTCGTTTGCATTCAGCATCTACACGTTGCTTTCATTGCATTTTCTTACATGTTTCCACGCAATCTCATCAGTGAAACTATTCTTCTACACCCTCAGCTGGCACCAATGTTGGTTTACTTTCCTCCTCGACGGCAGAGCCACCTCCAACTGCAACTTGCACGACATTTGTTGCAACTATTGTTTCCTCAGCGTCAACAGTAGTTTTCTGCAGTAGTTATTGCCACCTAGATCTATCCCAAACTGTTGGACTTCTTATTCTATTCTGCTACGCAAACATCGTGATACTGGTGTTTTCACGAACGTATTACGATGTCATCACTTTGTTGCAACCTCTTGTTATGTTGGTTACGATAATCCGCCTGACCACTGTACGAGCTTCAACCGTCCAATGCGTGACAAAAGAGTGCTTTGCAATATAGAAGTACAGTAAACTGGGCGTATGTTTTAATCAGCGTAGCGCACCATTACATTATCTCACACCATGCACTCCGCCATCTTCGCATGTACCCCTCCGTCTGTTCTCTGGTACTGTAGCAGGGAGCGTCGCTGCTCCTTTCTCGTGCTAGCATGCTAATTCACTGCTTCTCTCGCCTTACATAGACCCTCGTGAGGCCTCGGCACCTAGAACGGGGTGCCTGGCTCTTTAGATAGAAACCATTATTTTAAACTTGACCTAAGAATTCAGTTTTTGATCGCCAGCCATCATTACAGCTGGCATAGTCTGGTCCACGATACTATTTCTTAAATTATCGCACAGTCCAATACAATCATTTACCATTCATCCTTCATGCCATGACGCATCCGCCGTGGACGCAACGTGCGCCAGTTGCTACCCTTATCAATAATATATTAACACTCGTTCTCTCCCTCGATCCCATCTGCCACACAGTTCTCCTCTCACATCCTCGGTCCTCCTCGTCGGCTCTCTTAATTACATTGAAGTCCATCTCGATCCATTTGAGATTCTCCTCAAAATCAATAAAATCAATGAAGCTAGGTACGAGTGTAAAGCGTTCCATACCTAGCCCAACCCTCGACCCCCGCAACCTTTCTCAACACGACAACGCATCGCTTGTTACTTGGTTTCTCTTAGTTATCGTTTGCAGTGCAGGCAGGCAGTGCACGGCCTCTACTGTACAATTCCATTCTTGCCAAATCTTGCAGATCCTATAATAGCCCTCTCTCTTTCCTCACAAACCACATTCCACACTCACGTGCACCTCTTTGCACTATCATCCTTCATACACTTCCCTTCTTCCAAAAACAACATGTGCATGGAGACGATTATGCCGCGTTGTGTACCTGCCCAACTGCGTGTATTGTTCACAGCCACCTTTCTGTCAGTGCGCAAATCCCAGCTGTCAACTTCATACCCGACATTGTCTGCATTTCCCCACTTCCGCCAGTGCCTGACGTAGCATACCCACCACTCCGTCTGTCAAAATAGAAACCTTGCTTCCCTTGTTACTTTCCCATGTTTCGTCGCTTCAATTTCGTCGTCCATGTTTCCTACTCTCCAACGGCTGGCGCCACTGTGTCCCATGGAGAAACGTTTGCAAGGTCTCCGTGTATGGTAGTACGCGCCGCATGCTTGTCCTCCGTATCGTCTCTGCTCACATGCCTTAATACACAACCCCCAACTTTCCTGCGGACTCTGTACAGGGAAACATCTTGATATAATCTTGATTGTCGTTTGATTTGCTTCTGCGTTTTTGCTGCACAGCACTATTCGCAGCACTGAAAGTGTTGCAACTGGTGCGAACAACTCGGGGTGGAACGAGGTTTGTTGTTCTCCAAGGATAATGTTGTATGTCTGAAGCAGTTTCACTGCTATGTGTCGAAGTACTGTTGCATTCTGCGGACGTGTGCAACTGTTTGACTTGCATTTCTGGCTTGATATTTTGTGTCACTTTTCTCTTGTATTGTGCGATTGGTCTTCGTCCTGAAGCATAGAGCGATACAGACGTGTCAACCTATCTGAGTTTGAAGGATTGCGAAGTACGTTTGCATGCGACGTCAGCAGCACAAGGCAAAAGAAAGAACTGAAGTACGGTACTGTACATATTACGACGAATATAGGGTAACAAGGCAGAAAGATCATAGCAGTGCATCAGTGCACGCATTCATGTATACTTTCGGAGCGGTGCTTAGTTGATGGCTGCACAGTTTAGAACTCCAGGTCAAAGATCAGTCTCGGTAAGTGCAGTAGTGCGTGGCAAGACTACAAGATTCTACAGCACAGTTGCGCAGCGTCAGGCGCAATTCGTTCCACAGTGCCTTGAGCTCTATAAAAAAATGTACTTTTCAGCACTACTCGTTCTGCCAAGATAACCTGCTGCCTTTACCGCTGTCATGGTTGCAGCCACCAGCTTATAGACCACGGCTTGCGCCGCTACTTCAGCAACTCATCGACAACATATCGCATCGCTGCCGACCCTCTGTCGCAAGTTATGGAGACCTCTCTTTCCAAGTCAGCCAACGTGTGACGTTACATGCAACTGCTGTATCGATGGAACTCTCATACTCTGTACTTGGAACACAGCATTCCGACATCGGTATCCGATACGCGCCTACCACACACCAAAACAGCACAGAACCCTCCCCTGTCAAGCTAAACAGAATTGTCCCGGAATATTATCACTGCGGTATTCACAGACCGTTTGGTCCAAAGAATTCATCAGATGGTTTGGGTGCGAACATGGAACGGTTGTTGGCGGCATTTTGCCACCAGATATATTCTTTGCAATGGATGCAAGAACATTTCATTATAGTATGCACACAACTAAGCAATATCGACACGCACCTCCTTCTCATGCAATGAGTTTTTTTCTTTCTTTTTCAAACACGGTATTTGAACAATTCAGGTTAGCTGTACCACTCGGATACACGTATTCAAATCTCACCTTAGCCTGCTTGTATGCATACAATGTCAAAACGAAGTGCTCGTGACGGGAAATTCATATAATGCCAGAACCAATCTATATCATTCCATATCATTGTGTTTGGAAGATCAGTGAGAAAAAGACATGCCTTAACGTAAAAGTCCATATAACTGCTGTACCACACAGAGGTGTAAATGGACCAGTTTTTTTAAATTGTATCCTTGTTACAGAGCAGAGTTCAAACCTGGATTCGGGAGAAAGAACTCCGTCAGAGGAGAATGCTCACAACAAATCTAGAAACAGGAATGCTCCTTTCCTGTTTCTAGATTCGTTGTTCTTCCGTACTGAAAAACAACGTGTAATTTGCAAAAATGCGACGAAGACAAATTACTTGACACTATCAAGCAAGCAGTTCTTAAAAAATCACATAGAAAATGTGATACTTTGAAATCAATGTGCATGTCCGATTGTCGCGGAATAGGATTTCTTGTTTTGAGTACTGACGAAGACCATTTTCAATGGGTTCATCTAAGGGTATCAACCGCAAACAACGTTATTATTCTGGTCATCTTGGCTGTGAAAAAGGGAAGATGTACCTCGGCGAAGAAATCTGCCGAGAAGGGTAATGAAGCTCCACGGAACAAGAAATTTCTATCAATACCAAGAACTTTCACAGCGAGAAATGGAGTAATCGCTATCAGAGGAAAACGAAAAGCGTGTAATTTTTTCTGGTTCCAACAGGAAGGTGTTTTCTTCAAGACGTTTTTCGGTCCAAAATCCGATGGCGTCTTGTCCCTCGGGAGAGACTGATGACGTCGTAAAATTATCCTGAGGGAAGAAGGAGGATCATCGTTCGCCACTTTTGACAGCTTGAACGAATGTCGCTTTGCCCACAGCTCACATTGGGACTCTTCTTCGCTGAGAACATAAGGGTTTTCGACTAACAAGATGTGAACAAATATGAATTGTTGTAAACAAGAGGCCTCTATGAAGTTGTGTAAAGCATCATCGCCAACGTAGGCCATGCAGCAGGTGGCATTTGCAATGAAAAGCGAGACCGTCATTCTACAATCGATTAGATTTGGTAGGCGTTATGCCTTCTTTCCTCAGCTTCGTACAGTTCCTACTTCTATGTGTGGCCCTACGTTGCTGATCCGAAAGGAACTACATAGTACGCAACGCGGCCCCTCACAATGCTGTCTTTCCACAGCATCGTCCCGGCAACACAGAAATATGCCCGAAGTGCTCGGCAAATGCGACAGAGATCAATATCTCTGAAAGAAAAGTACGATGGTAAGGCGTGTGCATACATTTACTGAATTTGAGTCTAAGGATAACGACTGCACCAAGAAATCACTATCATCTCCACC